AGTTTTAAACCTACAATTTTTTTTTAAGCAATAGAAAATTAACCGGGATGAAACTAAATGGACAAAATGAATAATCAAAATTAAACTAACTATTAAAAATGTCATTATTATTAGTATGTAAGTGAGTGAGTAAATAAAAAAAATATATGTATAATATATAGTAATTAATAATAAATATGTATAAAATATTAATTATGACATTAAAAATTATATTAACTGAAAATTATATTAAAATACAGTATTATACAATAGTAAAAAAAACTAAATGGACAAAATTAACAATCAAAAAAGTGTGTATAAATAAATAAATAAATTAATAATAAATAAAGTAATAAATAAATAAAACATTTAATAATTAAACAGATTGTGAACAAAATCCCCATTTTAAGGGAAAAATATTTGATGTTTAAAACTAGCTACTTTTCATGCAAGGCTAATTTTATGTCAGATAACAGTTTATTTAACATCTAATAGGTCTCACAACAAAATACATAGGATTTGTCCCTCTAATGCTTTACAAAAAGTAACAGGACACTGAATTGTACTAGCAAAAAGCACAGTGGAAAATGGCAGCAGTTTTGTGACCTTCTGTGTTATCGCTCAGTGTGAGGAGATGGCTTGGCATCTCATCCAGACGTGTCATTGCTGTCTGATGGGTGACTTTGCAGCATGTATCTCCCTCCCTCCCTCCCTCCATCTCTCTCTCTGTTGAACAGTGTCTGTGAGCTTTATTCTGTCCCTGTGAGCCAGTGACAGTAAAGGCCTCAGGAGGTACTTTTAACAAACCACTGCCACTTTGTATGCTAGAAGACGTCACTCAAGCAAAGGCTGGGAATGCTGAATCAGCAGCACAGCATGCAGTGAACCCATCCTCACTCATTTGCCTTTGCGCTATAGGCTGTCAGAACAGATCCTGGGCAATTGGACTCCTTGATCCGACTGCCACGGCTCTGTGCAGAGCTCTCTGGACAGTGAAATCAAGGTGCTATGCAAATAGGGCTCATTTGGAGCATCAATGAAGTTAATCAAGCTTTAATTAAGCTTTCAAGTTGGGCTAGTGAGGCAATGAACAATTTGCTGCCCTCTGAGCTCCACAGCAGTAGGTTGAAACAAGGTGATTGCTGATAAGCTGCTAATATTCATTAGTATTTTTGGGCAATTATCAATTTAAATTTGATACGATTTCAAGCATTTTAGCAAAAGGTCATGAAAAACATGACATTTCTAAAATTCTGTTTTCGCTTTGTCATTATGAGGTACAGAGTGTAGATTAATGAGAATAAAACGGATTTAAACAATTGTAGTCTCAGGCTGCAACATAACAAAATTGCAAAAAAATTAAGGGGGTCTGAATACTTTCTGAATGCACTGTATATATATATATATATATATCTATATATGTATATATATATATATATATATATATATCTATATAAGTAATTATATATACTATAATTACAGTTTTAGTTTTTTTATTTTAAGTTTTTTAAATTTAGGTTTTCGTCTAATATTTGTTTTATTTTATTTCGGCTTTAATTTAAATACTGCAATTTTTCATAGTTTTACTTTTTGTTTTACTTAACAGGCAGCTGGTTTCCCAAGATGACCAGATGAAAATTAGCAGACTAGCCTGACTGGGTTAGGAGACAAACCAGCAAACCTGCTTAGGCTGGTCTAATATGTTTTTTAAAGGAATACAAGCTGTGTTTTACAGGACAAAAGCATATGTCTGCTGCGTTTGCCTTTTTAACGGAGAATACGGTCTATTATGCTATGATATGATCCCGGCCATGCTGCTCTGACTAAGCGTGTTTCACGAGTTAGAGTAAAATCATAGCTGAGGAAAGACTCAATACAGCTATTACAGACCCATTATGAAATCATTTTTCTAAACAAACAGCGTCTTTGAGGGGCCATGCACATGCTTGTGGCAGTAAAACTGAAAATAAATTTGTGTAATAGATGAGATGCTCTGTTTCTGTGCGGCAGGTGTATTTGCCAAACACAAGCGGTGAGCAACGCAGTAGGAGAAGCTATTAACCATGACGTTCAGAACAAGTGCAGCCTAGTCATAGTAAATTAAACACTTCAAAGTCAGATAAAAAAATGGACATTTAAATTAGCCGAAGTGTTTTGCCATTTTAAAAGACCGTCTCAAATCCCAGTTAAATGAGACAAATAAGCAAGCCATTTGTTAGGGGATTTCACATCTGTGGCGCTACGAAAACCTCGCTATGTTTGTTCGAACAATGCAAAATGTCTTCAACAGCATGTGTCCAAACTCCACTTCCTCTAACATTTACAGCAAATAACCAAGCAGCAACGAAAAACTAATTTAAACACAAGTCTGCTACTGAAAGTTAGCGTGAACGTGGTCAGCAGTGTGGGCAGCTGATTAACCATTTTTCCAGTGCCAACGATTGTTTATTGGTCCTGTTGACGAAGCCTGCAGATAACAGCCCCACGCGGTATGAAAGCGTGGTCGGGTAATTATCTCTGGCAGAGGCGACGACGGTGACGCTGCTCGGTTGAAGGATATGAAATATCTTTCAGGATCTAATTACTGGGTAGCCAGAGGTGTAATTTCCCTCTTTCGCTTGGCATCTTCAGAAATGGGAAGAGAATGCTGAATGTGTTCACTTCAGGTAAGTGCTATCACACTCGCTGATCTTATTCAGATTCAGAGCCCAGCCGTGGAGAGGAAGGGCAGGAAGGATAGGAACCATGTGCAAGAGGTCTGAATGTACAGATAAAGACAGACTATCATAGCAGAGACAGGAAGAATAATAGACGTATGGCCTTTCTTTAATACCAAGCGACCTCAACACATTTATGTTGGAGTTTTATTGCTTTCGTCACTTTCAGCGGCTTAACCAAGCTTCTCTTCGCACAATTGCATGCGCTTAGCATAATGTGGCATTTATAAAGGTTTGTTTCTGAATTACCGTGGGCGGTACTTTCAACCTCCTGACTTCTGTTTTGCACAAAGAATGACAAAGGTAGCTATAAAAATTCGAAAGCTAATATTAAAGTCAAGACAAGTCTCCGGTCAGAGCCTGCATGGAGGTGCTGATACATTAGAGAAGTTTTACAGGAAATCAATAACCAAGCCCATTTCTGTGTACTTCAGCCATTCTGATAAAAACGAAAGGTTTTAAAGAATGAATCAAAGTGGAACTAGGTAAAGACTGATGGTAAATCTGTTGTAGAGAGGATAAAAACCTATGAAGAACAACTGCTTATTCAATGTATTATACAGAGCCATAAAGAAGGTCTTTGGCTCGCTTTGTGGTATTAGAAAAATGGCACGTCAAGGTAAAAATAGTACTTTCAAACATGTTTCAAGACCCTTTTCCATTCAGTTGCATTCCATAAAGCTATTCGAAAAGAATGCATCTAACTGCATGTGAAAGCGTTCAAGCTTCAAAAAGGATGCGGAAGCACCATAAAAGCATAATAGAAGTGGTCCATACAATGGACTTGGTGAGGAATTCGAATCGAACTGAAGTAGCTATTCATTGGAAGGAAAGTAGTTTTTAGTCAGATTTGAATGGTCCAGTTTACCAAACCGATTGATTCACTCTCAAAATGATTTCATTTCTTGAGATGACTCAGTGATCCAGTTGCAGCAATTAACCCCTCACTGGAGGTGAAGGTCAGTGAATAATGAGATAAATCAAGTCGATGTCTTCCTCACAAAGCTGTCACTTTTATGGTGGTTTTGCATTCAGTCTGAAGCCACAGAAGTCATAAAAATTTTTCATTTAGTCTTTTTTTAAATTTAGTCCAGTGTCAAGTTCACTTTTTAGTTGTCATATTTAGTCAGCCTTGTCCTGTCTTTGTTTAGTCAAGTTTTAGTCGACTAAATGTCTGAACATTTTAATCTAGTTTTAGTCAATGAAAACTTATTCACATTTTCGTCATGCTGTATAATAGTTACAAATATTTTTTATCAAAATTATAATCGCAATGATTTTTGTCATTTGAGAAATGTTTTTTTCACATTTCAGGTATTGCACTTTCACCAATAAGCACAAAGCAACAGAATGTGAACTCATACACATGGTTTATTTTACCTCATCTAGTGTACTGATTTATTATAGGCTATTTAATATATAAATTAAATAAATATAAATATCAAAGACTTATATATGCACTTTCTCTGTCTACATAATGAAAACTGTTAAAACAGTGAAATTCCTAATAGCAATTCCAATAATTCCAAATTGCAATAATGTTTCTCTATTAAAACAACAGCGGTTGAGCAAGTGCATTAATTCAGCAATCACAAACAAAATAGTCGAGATCTCATGACAGACGATAATACACACTGGCTGAATGACACTTTCATTTAAGCCGATTATACCACATGGAGATCGCTGAACTTCAGCATACTGGTTTGTCGGTGTTTAGATAATAATCTACACTTCCGTAATGAAGAGTGAGCGCATGCACATGTTTGCCAGATTGCAAAAATTAAGCAAAACACCAGGCAGAAAATGTATCCTTTTAACAGAGAAGTTCTGATTTGGGGATTTGAACTCTTCTTATCTGGCAACTGCCCACATGAAAGCTCTCATAGTAGAGGCTTGTACAGCAGTCCGCAATATTATTTTGATATTTTGTCTCCTTTTGTTCAATGAAAAAATAAAAGGAGATTTTTGTATAGTTTTTATTTAAAAAAAAAGTATTTTATCGTCAACGATATTGCATGTTGATATAGTCACAGTTGTCGTTTATTGACCTTATTGTCATCTCATCATTGTCTCGATTTAGCCATGGGAAAGTAGCTCGTCAAAGAACATTTTTTTGTCATAGTTTTCATTGATGAAATTAACACAACATAAAAATTTGGAATGACATGGAGTGAGTAAATTAATTTATATTTTTGGGTGAACTATCAAATATTGAATTGTGTGGAATGTTTCATTCTTGATCAATAAAAAAAGATTGATCCCTATTAGATATCAGAACATTCAACACGACTACATCAAACATACTTGAGCTCTTGTAGTCTTTCTTCTTCAGTTTGCGTCTCATCATGGTGCCGCGGGGACTTGTGGGATACATGGTGCGTGGCAGCGTGTTCATGTTGAGTGAGCTCAGACTGTAGGCACTCATGGAGGTGGGAGAGAAGGATGAACCCAGAGCTGTGTAGGAAAAAGAGAGAAATGTTTTAGCAAAACTCTCATTATCAACTCTCAATGACTCATTTTAAAACCTCATATACTTAGTATATAAAGTTCAATTTTGCTTGTTAGAATGCTTCTGCTTTACATTTTTTCCTCATTTAAAACAACAATTTGAGTGAAAATCCAACATAAACTTCATGATTTCATAGTATTTGGTATGTGTCTCTTTTGCTTTACTGTAGCTGCATGATCATGATCTTCAGCATGATTTCAGATGATCCAAAGAACATCTTGAGTTTCTTTGGAAGAACAACATCTGACCATCTGTACAAATTCACATGAACAATCTCACAAATTTACCTAGATTAGAGACTTTGAAGTTCTATTCATTTTATGTTTTAACCATGTTTAAATCCCATATTTTCAACTGAACTTTCGAACCGCACTGTATCTTAACGTTTTCTAACAACAGGTGCAGGAAACCAAAGCCACAGTTTGTCACTAGTTGAGGAAATGCACAAAACAACTCATTAAAGTGCTATAGACTGTGCCCTCGTCTTTGACACTGTGTGAACGGTGGTAAGTCTTCATCAAAGCACAACTCTAAAAATACTCCCCGATGCCTAAAAGCCACTTCTTATCACAGAACAATGGCTAAGAACCAAATCACAGTTCATACTGATCAGACAAAGAGCTTCAAAGCCGTTTTTAGCACTTGCAAAAAAAAAAAAAAAATCCCAACTGACAATGTTACTACTCCAAAAAAATTTGTTTTATTTGGCTGGGACACTGGCGATGCTGAAAATATGTCAGGATTAGAGCAGATTACAGTCTTATTTTTTACAGTTTGTGTGGTCTTGGCACATGAAGGACATTCTGCTTTCCTCTCTCTTTTTTTAAAAAGCCATTAAACCATGTACAGCTTTAAGAGCATAATGAGACCTTCTGGTCCACTTGTGTATTGTATAAGATGAGCTCTTCCTAATCCAAACATTAAGGAGTTAATGTCCAGCAAATGCAGCCTAATTTGTCTTTAGGGAAAAAGAAAACAGCGTAATACAACTCTCAGGGGGGTTTTGCTCTTTCACGCAAATCAAGACACATCTTCCAGAGATGGAAAAAGCCTTTGAACTCCCATAACCAAGGGGGATATATAATCCAGCAATAAAAAAGGAGACTGTGACTAAAGAGTATTGATGGAATGACAGTAAATTATGTGAAGCCACCAGCACTGAAGTGCCCGCGGCATCTTTACTACCCTCCTGAATGGAGAATCTGAGACATGACTGTGAAGGTGAGAAAAGGTGCAGCAAGCAATTTTAGCAGTGTTGCTAACTTCAAAATTCAATCATATGTGTGATATAAGTGAAAAGCAGTTCAGACGCTTGAGGTTTAAAGGTCGCTGTACCATTGGTTGCTACAGGGGTTTTTGAACTGGAGTCAGCAAAATGTTTGGGGGACTGCAAAAATGTATATATACATATATATATATATAAGGGCTGTCAAAATTAACGGCACTAATTTTATTAACGCAGCATGCATTTTCTGTTTGACCCGTGGCCTGACCCGTAGTTGGAGAAATGGAGATGCACAGTGTTGCCAACTTAGCGATTTAGCGACTTTTCAGACCCCTTTAGCAACTTTTATTTTCCTCCCAAAAAAAGCACCTAGCGACAAACCTTTAGGGTTTGCCCAAACCTTATTTAGTTTCTGAGACTCACTGGTACTGCCACGCGAGTGCAAGGTCTCTCTTTCCCAGCGCACACACACCTCTCTTTCTCTCTCTCCGCGTCTGTTCTGTTCAGCGAGCGGCGGAGAGTAGCAGCACTTTTAGTTAAAACAGATATTATGTTTTTACTTTTTTATCTAATTTTACATGCAAGTATAGCCGAAATCACAGCACAGCTATTGTCTTTATCTTATGTGTAGCCTATTTGATTTCATTAGATGATGGCTCGATTATTAGGATTTTTGTGCAGATTAACATTTTGGAAGGGAGAGCTATGTAGTCTTAATGGGTCGCATTTCAGTCACTATTTCATATTCATTCCGTTGTCAACTGTAGTAAGTCAGTCTGGTAACTAGTAACACAATATTTGGAACACGAAAAACCCCATTTTGCTGAATTACTGTAAATTTTTTCTGAAAAAAATATGAGTGTATTGTACATACTTAGGGAAAGTATTGTCTAAGGCGAGTTATTGGCAATATATATTTAGTCAGTTTGAGTAAATTATTAATTTACTGTAAACATTCATTTGAATAAATTATTGGACTTCTTTTTGTACTGTGAGGTAAATTTGCAGACGGTCCCTAAAGCAGCCCAGGCGAATAGCCAGCTAATATCAAACCTAAAACTACCGCGCTTGGTTTTCTATGGGAGAAAAATGGTTTGGTCAAACTTTGTGGGTTGTGGGCTCATATTCTGGGCTCATCTGCTTAAATGTACATAATATACAGTAATATATTTTATTAACTAGATGCCGAATTTAATAATTTATTATCACTGTCTTGAGGCAATAAACCACGTTATGTGTTTTCTTTATGGGAAATGTTTAACATGCCGTTTTGTGCATTCCGTAACTTGCGTTCATATCCTCATCTGCCTGTATAGTTTGCATCATCAGTAAGATCTGAATTTGGTCTTTTAATAGCTGCGTTAATTGCCACGTAATGCGTTTTCTTTAACAGATTTCTGAGGGAAACAGCGTGAAACCTTGTGCGTTCGTTCATATTCTACATCTGCTTAACTGTCGATATAGTTCGCATAATCATCAATAAGGCGTATTCTGAGATCTGAGGTCTTATATCACTGTATTAGTTCACTGTTACGCATCATTGGGGAATCCTGGCGTGTGACATATGAGGGGAACCCCAGTATTACAGCACAGAGTCACACAAGCCATGATACAAAGTTACAGAAACTAAGCAACCGAAAGCAATATATGTCTTACTCAGATGTAATGTTAGTTCTGTACTTCAGCGTTGGGTAAAATAGCATTAATATAATCTCCTTTGTGGTAGAGAAAGCTGCTTACATGTAGGCTACGGGAAACAGCGAAGATGTTGAATTAAACATACACACAATCAGCTTTTCCACATGTTTATACTGGCCCCCGATAATCAAAACTTCTACTTAGCGCTTGCTCCATTTCTGCAGATCAGTTTTTGTGAATGAATTACTTAATCCACCTGTTGCTTTGGTCTTCATCAACAGCCAGTTGTGCCAATTTTCTGCCGAATTTTAACTACTGAATTTGTGGAAGCGAATTTGGAAAGTGAAATAAAATGGACCGAAATTTGCCTGTCGAATATTATACATCGTATTTTTAAACGGATTGAATATTTTGGAAGTGAATTCTGGAAGGTGAATATGAAATATTGAATTTTTAATTATGAAAATTTGTGTGAAATATTTTGAACTGAAATATTCACAGCTTAAACAACTATGTTAAAATTCAGGACCTAAAAATGCAAGCCCTGGAAATACAAGGCATTAAAATGCAAGCATTGTTAATGCAATGCATTATTTTTTCAGTTAGTGCTATTCAACATGCTTTTTTGTTTCAAAGACATATGGCATTATTTTTTGTCCATAAGCAAACTTTGCAAAACACAAAATTTGTCACTGCCAAAACTTTTTGCCATGTCTGTATGTTGACTATGGTTTCACTAATAATAAACATACATTTGCATAAATCATCCATATTTGTCCATGCCCTTGTTGATAAGAGTATTAAAAACTTGAAAAGTATTAATTTAAGGTACATTTAGAACAGATAAAAATGTGCGATTAATCACAAGTTAACTCATGACAATCATGCAATTAATAGCGATTAAATATTTTAATTGACTGACATATATACTGTATATATATATAATTTTTTGATTTATTATACGTTTAATAAAATATTTTTTTTTACAAATATGTTTAAAATATCCATTGAAAATATCCATTCATATAAAAAAACAGCAAACAAAAACAAAAATAAAACACTAGGCAGCCCTAGTAGTAAGTTAAGTTATTTATTTATGTATTTATTTAATAAATAGATACAAAGCATAATATTTACTAAGAATAAAAATATAGATGAATAGATAAATATATATGTTTTTGAAAAAACTAAATATAGAAATGTTAAAAAATTTAAAATAACATGCAAAAATCTAATAAATATATAAAAAAGAAAAATATAAAAAACTGTTTTTATTTAAATGTTTATACAGCTACATTTCTATTACTCTAAAAGTGTGTAGAAAACAACATGTTGTATTTTTAGCATGACAATATAATATTTTATCACAGTATAAATGGGTCTTTATAAATAAAATTATACGGCTATTATATTTTAAGAAAGAAGTTCTTCACAAGATGATCAACCTACTTTGTGGTCCTTGGCAGTCAAACGTGTCACTGCTCACTTACATAAAGCTAAACTACGCTAAATTTTGTCGCTTTCATAAACAATCTGTTACGTTTCCTCTAATCGCCAGCTCTCACTGAAAATGAACAACTTCCAGTTGCTTTAATGCTGCAAACCATTGTTAGTGTAAATTAACAAGCACAGGTCATCTCTAACAGCCTCACAGTGCCCTTGAAACGCTCAGAGCGCCAACAAAAGAGATCGATAAAGCCCTGATGGCTGGAATTTATAGTAATGATTCTGTATAATCAAATCAGACTCTGTAAGGCCGCTGAAAGAGGAAACGCATGACCTAAAACATAAATGAGAAGTGCTTTTGTGGCAAATGGCAATCTTCCCATCTTATCAGCCATTTAGAGAGGGAATCTAAGGCCTCGCGATATCAATTATCATTGACTACATGTCCCAGAATGTGCTTGAGACTTTGAAGTCCACCCATGACCGCACAGGGAGAAACGGTCAGGTCACATTTCTAGAATGTCAATAGTGCAATATCGCTTCCTTAACAAGGATTATGTTCCATATCCCCCAAAGAATAGCATCACAAAGGTGTCCTCTGGTTTTACGGTGTATCTTCTGCACAACCAAAACCACACAAGTCTCCCTGAATGGCTCAGCACTCGTCTGGCTTTGTACAGCGACTCTGAGCTTTTCCGTAATGTGCTCTCGCCTCTGGTAGAATAGAGCTCAGCTACACCCACAGATGGAGAATAAAGGCCAGATATAATACGGAGGAAGAGAGCAGCAGAGAGAGAAAAACAGTCTTTAGCCTCAGCATAGTTTAGAGACAAGGAAACAGCCTGGGAACAAATTAGTTCTGCTCTGTTTTCCAAAGAGATCAAATAAAACATACTAAAAAAGACAAAAACAGACTTATCAAATAAAGCACAAAGGAGACATTCGAACGAATGCAGTCCTGTATTGCATATCACATTCCCGTGGACACCAATGTTGTGGGTTCGATTCCCCAAAAATGCATGACTTAAACTGATTAAAAAATTTATTTGTGTGTGTTTCTGTGTGTGTAAGTTGCTTTGGAAAAAAATAAAAATAAAAATATAAAATAAAAATAATAAAATAAAGAAAAAACTGCAACTTTTGCAAATGAGCAGCGACAGCCAGATTCAGTAACTATTGCTGAAGATGAAAGATGTAAAGTTATCTTTAAATAATGATTGCACTTAGTACATCCTGTATTTTTTCTTTAATTTATTATTACTTAAATAATAAAATAAAAAAGTAATAAAATAAAATCAAAGAAAGAAAAAAATACAGGATGTACTAAGTGCAATTATTATTTAAAGATAACTTTACATCTTTCATCTTCAGCAATAGTTCCTGAATCTGGCTGTCGCTGCTCATTTGCAAAAGTTGCATACTGCCCAACATGGCAACAGTTTTTTTGCTCATGTGGCATTAAATAGCCAAATCTCATTGAAAATATATGAGACTGTGAGTTTTTATTAAACAATGAAAATGAAAATCAACCTGGCAATATTGAAATTATAAAGCCAATACCTATAAAAGAATGGAATAAATCGGTTTATCAGTGATATTAATGAGAAACATGGAGTGATACAAGAGGATGAGGATAAAGGAGAAGGGAAGGAACATTACGGGGGTTGTTTGGAGAGGTTTTCTGCTTGGTCTGGCTGCGGGACTGGTCAGGGTGGTAGGTGTTATAGTGTTGATAGGGAAGGAAGTTGCTGTTGTTGTTGGTTCCGGATTCCCAGGGCAATGGCCGGTTACTCCTCTGCACCTTGACTGACCACACGGAGAGGAGAGAGAGAGGGAGGACGTGAGCAGGAAGAAACATACAACACCACACAAATGCCAGTGTACAACAGATAAAACATACAAGGAGAGACATTTTTAAGGCTTTTCAAACTGCGATTAACCCTGGAACAAAACTACGTACTATGGTTAAAAATGACCCTAGTTTAACACTGTTATTTTAAGTTAGTTTAGCGAAGTTAGTTTTTTAACGAAGTTAGTTTAACGAAGGGTTATTTTGTCTGCTTTGTGATTGGGCTTTCTTCATAAAGCAAGTATAAAATTGGACAAAAACAAGCACAAGTAAAACAAGACATACCAAATTTACTAAAATGTGAAAAGTTATGTTGTTCCAAACCTGTATGATTTGAAGGAAATGGGTGGGGAAAAAAAACAAACAAACAAAAAAAAACAATTAGGGCGAATTATACCTATAGGAAATGTTCTAGGTCAAAACAACCAATGTCACAAATAATGTAAATTTCACCATAAGCACAGGTATGGACAAAAGACAAGCAGAAGTTATTAAAAATAATACTAATAATAATACCGGTAATAATAATAATAGGGAAAATTTGGAGGGATAGTTCATTAAAAAGTTAAAATGTTTGTTGTTCTAAACTTGTTGTATGACTTACTTTTTCTGCATAACACAAAGGAAAAATGTTTTAACCATTTAAAAATTAATGGGTCCACAATAAAATAAAATAAAATGGAATTTTATTAGGAATGTTTTAGGAATGTTCTAGGTTGAAGCAACCAGTGTCTCAAATAATGTAAACCTCACAAAAAATGCACCATCATGCTACTGTGCCAAACAGCATCTTCTGAGACTTTCGGACTTTCATATTGGACAAGCAGACTGACAATATCTGCAGTAGCAGGCACAAAGAATAAAAAAAAACAAGCACTCACATAGCAAGGTCTTAAATAACCAACAGCTAGTGCTCCCCTCAAAGTATCCTCGTAGGAATACACAACTACGGACACCAGCATTGATCATTTTCTATTTTGGCTCCTTTCTGTTTCACAGTTAATTTTAGCAGTAGTATGTTTGCTGTGCTTTCAAACACACAAGCACACAGGCTGGAGAGAGAGATTACAAAAGCAGTCTGAGAGAGAAGAGAGGCAAACTGGAGGGCAGCGGCTGCAGAGGCGATTAGACAGGAAAGAGAGTCGGTGAGAGGTGAAGGAGGAGTGTGTTTTTGTGTAAGGCAGGAGACCAGGGATCCATCATCACGATAGCATCAAACAGCAGCACGGGGTTGAAAGACAGTGAAGAATCCATCGAGACTGTAGGTAATCAGCCCTAAACAGATGAGAGCCATTACTTCTACAATTATGTGTGTGTGGAAAAAAAGAGAGAGATTGTTCATGAATCATAGAGAGAAGAAGGGCAAATGAAAATATGATGGGTGTGTTTGCAGGCATTAATGTAGAATCTCTATACCAAGGGTATCAAGAAATGGAAATAATCATGATTAATCTCAAAATTTTCTCAAATCAATTTCAACTTAAGTTTTGATGCACTTAATTTATAATATATAATATATTTGAATATAATTTATACATTCTTTGCGTGAACATTTGGGCGGCGTTATGCAAATCTTCCCACATAGTGAGGTAGATATGTGGGGGCGTGTTAGAACGAGTCATTTTAGGTAGGCGTGGTTGACTCTTAACTTTTATAAAGAATATCTCTTTGGATTTGAGACTTTAGTCTTTGCAACTTTACAGATCTTTATGCACCAAGAGCTTGTAACACTCCAAAGAGAAAGGAAAAATTGAAATCGCATCATATGACCCCTTTAATATCCTAACGATTTTTGGCATAAAAGAAAAATCTATTATTTTGACCCATACAATGTATTTTTGGCTATTGCTACAAATATACCCCAGCGACTTAAAGACTTCGTCGTTTAATGTTAACATTTCCGTCACACGCTTGAGGTATTCGGCCAATCACAACGCACTGGATAGCTGACCAATCAGAGCACACCTTGCTTTTCAGACCGATGAGCTTTGTAAAAATCGACGCATTTCAGAAAGGCGGGGCATAGAGGAGAAACAATAATATACAGTATGTGGAAAATAATGTATTTTTTGAACCTTAAACCGCATAAACACATTTTATTACACCAAATACACAAAATAATGTTCTTTTTAGCAACATCATATGACGTTTCCTTTAAGTAAAGATCATGTTCCATAAAGATATTTTGTAAATTTCCTACTGTAAATATATCAAAACTTAATTTTTGATTAGTAATATGTATAGCTAAGAACTTCATTTGGACAATTTTAAAGGCGATTTTCTCAATATTTTGATTTTCTTTCACCCTCAGATTCCAGATTTTCAAACAGTTGTATCTCGACCAAATATTGTACTATCCTAACAAACCATACATCAATGGAAAGCTTATTTGTTCAGCTTTCAGATGACGTATAAGTCTCAATTAAAAAAAAATTACCCTTATGACCCTTATATACCCTTATGGTTTTGTGGTCCAGGGTCACATATGTATAATTTAGTCATATATTGTATACTTTTCTAATTTGCGTTATATTGTACAAATTATCAACCACATTATACATGTATACTGTATAAGTGTATATATATATATATATATACAGTATGTATAATAAACACTCTGTAGTGTGCACTTGCAAAATGTACTACAACAAACAACATGCACATGGTAGTCCAGCGAACAGATTGTGTTCAGTGTTTGCATCAGAAACAAGCAGGGATTGGCCTGGAGGGATAATATTTGTTTTCTCATCAGTAGATTCAGATGTTTTCTGTGACACACACACTGCCGCCCACGGAAACCCACCAAACCGATGTCGTGAATGCATGAGTATGCAGTGACAAGGTAGAATACGTCTATGCGCTGCATACGTGCGTTGTGGTGTCAGCCAGCTGTCTGGTGCTGTGACGTTTCCGGCATTAGCCAGCTGTCTGGAGTTTCTTAGCGGCTGACATTTAGATCTGTGTTAGTGTAGAACGCTTCACTGCACTAAATCTGCTTGAGCTGAGGAAATAGACTACACGTCTGCGTGTGTGTGAACTGCGAAGTGGACGTGCTTCTGCATTGTAATGCCAGAAGCCTGACATGCCAGTAGACGTGTGCGGCTCTTCACGGGAATCAGGAGTGAGCTGTCCACTCAATGTGTTTGGATGGTACTCAACTCAATTTCCTTCCCTTAAGAGCCAATCAAGACGCCTCCCACCAGCTGACCCGAGGGTCACTTCATTGTTTTCTAATGCGGGGCCTCTGAAAACCCCTAACAGCTACAGGATGCATTAGTATGCTGTGCGGGTTCACTTTTATTTATGTGCTCAGGGCTCAGGCTTTATTCCATGTTCTTAAGTCCATAGCATAAAGGTTGTACAGCCACTGATCTTGTGGACGTTCTGCAAAATAATTAAATTTGTCAATAGGATTTATTTATTTATTTTTTTACTCAGTGAAGGCCAACAGCAGAACATCTGGGCCATACATATATGATGTGTTTTGACCTCTTTTTTGCCAAGCAGACCAGCAGCAAAGGCAGAGTAATAAGCTAACTAGTGTTATTTGTGGTTTGTGTTGTGGGCTGGTTGCCAGGGTGTTGCTATGCAGATGCTGAAGTGGTTTTAGCATGTCACTATACAGTTGTTATGATTCTGGGTGGCTGCTTTGGTATTGGTACTTGAGTTTAAGTACAGATATTCTAATGGTGTGCACACCGAAAGCGAATGTAATTATTTGCGCGAGTAGAGCATACGAAGTCAATGCAAATATATGAATGACACAAATTGGTGTGAACTAGTCAGAACTAGTCAAAAAATGCAGGAGAGCATTATTATTTTTTATTTGCGCGAGTGATGCAGAAAACATCCTTTGAGTAATCTAGAGCGAGTAACACGATGTGAATATTCACATCGTTTTTTTGTGCACATACCATAATAATATATTACTCTAATAAAAGTATTATGTACCCCTTTTCAAAAAGTATTTGATTCTTAATGTACTTAAGTATTGAAAGTAAAAAGTACTGCTCGCTGAATGTTCCTTTTGTAATTTTAACTTATATGCTTAAACATTTAATCATTTTATATTATATATTTTATATAATCCTACTGCTCAAAATACTTGGGTGAGTGGGGCTTGGCCTACACCATCACAGAATCAAATATATTAAGTAGTATTGTTAAAAGTGTTCGTCTTGTTGCTAAAAGTGTTGCTAATTGAAGAAAAGTGTTTGTATCGTTGCTAGAACAATTGTTTTGTAAGATAATAAACAGTTAAGAATAACAATGTATGTCCTCGTCTTTATTTATGCGCTGAAGAGTGGTGTAATTACAGATACGACTATATTATGCCTTAAATTTCTCTTGTCTTAACTTCGTCTAGACCAGCGGTGGCGAACTCCGGTCCTGGAGAGCCACAGCCCTGCAGAGTACAGCTCCAACCCTAATTAAAACTCACCTGCCTGTAGCTTTCTAGTAACCCTTCAGACCTTGATTAGCTTGTTCAGGTGTGTTTGATTAGGGTTGACGCAAAACTCTGCAGGGCTGCGGCTCTCCAGGACCGACGTTCGCCACCCCTGGTCTAGACTCACAACCGTTTTGCTTTGCAGAAGCTTTGTGTTTAAATATTTCAACTCAAATCAATATTTTGTGTCTACTTGTTTACTTATGTGGCAAATAGGCGTGTAATAAGCAGGATAATGTTCATCCAGCTGGTTTTTAATCACAGAATACACCTCTTCAGGGTGATGCAGGATGCATTTGCATTGGGGTCCTGATCACCCTTTCGAGGTTTATTCTGCGATAACAATTGGCTGGATGAATATTATCCACCTTTTACATGCATACTTGCCACATAAGTAAAAAAAAAATAGACACAAAATATTGATTTGTGTTGAAATACATAAAAAAAAAACTTGGTTCTGGTGTTTAAATATGACTCTGGTTTGGTCACTCTTGCCTGGCTGTGCTCTAGTGTGGCCTTCCACATCTTTGTGCTATAAATCTAGTCTTTGTCTCTGCGTTTGAATGTTAGCTTCCTGCTCCTGATAAGACGTGACAGGGCACACATTGGATGTCATAAGAACGCATACTCTGTGAGAAGCATCATTGCTCGAAACTTATGACGTCAAATCTCGTTATCATAGCATTTGGTGGCGCACAGCCTAATAAAAAACTGTCAAGTGATAAGAACGAGCGTTTGAACACCACATAACCCCTGACAACCTGAGACACAAGGCAAGATGCACTATCCTCTCACGGCCTTGTCTGAATTACAGATATCTCTGCAGGAAAGATGCTTAAAAATCGTTAAGATAACCGTCACAGCTGGCCTTGCACTGAGATGTCAAACGCTGCATTCAGACAACCTACTGTATCTAGGAACTACAGGGTTGATATCAAAGACACGCAGGAGTTATGGTAGGCATCAATTATGCATATGCCATCACTTTCAATAAATCGATTAAGTCGTTAAGGGCATGTCTCTGCTCTCTCCTCAGAGCATTGAGGTTTGAAGAGGTACGGCGTTCTGAGATGCACGACATTTCAGAGAACAGCTCTCATTAATAAATGTGACCAAAAATAAAATGCTAAGTGAGTAAAACTGTACTCCTCTAAATAAATATGCACTTATCCACTTTGTTTTCCAATCTGCATCACTTTAGTGGTCTTACGCTCTAGAGAAAGCCCTAATGGAGTGGTTTAAGGGTGTAAAAGGAGCCAAATCAGTTTGAAATCAAACAAGGATACAGTGACTTGCCTTTCCTATATGCTTATAATACACTATCCCCATTAAAATAAATGGAATTGATGCATTTTTTATGTAAATTCTAGTCCAGAGTGAGTCTGCATGGATTTCTTACCATGTTCAGGGCCCTTGAGGGCCAGTCTTGTCTGGTGGTGGGGCAGAATCTCCATTTTGACGTGTTCAGAAGCGCTAGCTAGCAGCTGGGTGGCCTCGGCCAGTGTGCAATACTCCATACTTGTGCCATCCACCGAGAGGATGTGATCACCTGCGTGCAGTGCACCACACCTGCAAAAGCAATGAGATCACTTCCTATTCTTCTATAGATCTAAACTTCCACTGAATTGCAGTTCTTCTCAATTATCTACTACAATGATCATTATCTAATATCATATATATACAGTGGGTACGGAAAGTATTCAGACCCCCTTAAATTTTTCACTCTTTGTTAACACAATGTTCCAAATTGAGCATATAAACTGGCACCCTGTTGATGGAAAAGGGGTTTAAGGTGTATTTATAATTCCCACCCAATGGTTCTCCCAAGAGCAAACTCTTGAATCATCATCAAAGTGCTAATCTGTTCTGATGGAAAGGTTTTCACTTGCTCAGCATTCCGCCACCCTTATTATTGTTCCGGGCCTTTCTGCTGGTGTGAAGGCTAGATGAGTTATTGAATTTCTATAATTAGTTGCTAAGCTTTATGCACTTCAAACTTTGAAAATTTCACAAGCAGGCATCAGATTCCTGCAGTGCACATTTCTCTCCTCTCGATGCATTGATCTGGCTCACAGAACAATGGAAACGTGATGAGCAATGATGCGTCTTTCATAAGGAACCGAAACGGTTGCCTTCCTATGCATGTGGGAAATGATTGCGGCTGTAATTACCTATCGGCGATGCTGGCTGGTTTGACCTTGTCGATGATGATGACCTGCTTATTGCAGTACATGGAGGTAGAGAGAGCCAGACCTAAACTGGAGCCCATGGACTTGGCCACCTCCACCAGCAGCGGGCCTGAAGCTGTAGCTACAGAATCTATAAAGGAGGAAAAAGACAGTGATTATATTCAGAAAATGGACATTATAGGGGTACAAAGTGACTCATAACCTGTGGCAGAGCTTGCCTTTTTTGGTATATTAATGCAAATCAGAAATCTTGGGTTAGGTGTACACTCCAGAAATTGGATAAAGCCTAAATCAAAAAGCTGCACAGAGGAAACTGCAACTGTGGTCTGAAATTGTTCATTATATATTTATGTAAACCAACCCCAAGCCTTGCTTAGTTGGCATCCACTGAAGCTCTGCTAATGCTTAGAATCCTCACTGCATGGACATTTATGAGGTATATGTCTAAGATGAAGACTGTTTTAACACATACACTCTTAAAAATAAAGGTTCCAAAATGGGTTTTCACAGTGATGCCATAGAAGTGCCCCAAAGAACCTTTCAGTGAACAGTTCTTAAAAGAACCATTTTTTCTTTTTTTTTTTAATAATCTCAAGAACCTTTTTCCACTGTAAAAAACCTTTTGTGGAATGAAAAGGATCCATGGATGGTAAAGAACCTTTATTTTTAAGACTGTATATATTTTAGCTATAGATAGAATAAATAAACTCAAATCACTGGATTAGGTAATAAAACATCAAACCAATGTTATTTTTTAAGACACACAGAATGAATACATCTTTTCAAGAAAAAAAGTTAATGCAATAGATATATTGTTCAAAAATTGTTATAAAACAAGAATGAAATTGTAACATCACAAGATTAAAATAGTAAAATTTTAAGAATAAAGTCCAAATTCCTAGAATAAAATTGTTGTATTGTGAGATTAAAGTTTATTGAGATTAAAGATTATTGTTTTTTTCTCAAAATATTATTATTACAGCATTGCAATTAGTATTTTTTTCACCTCATATTATATAGCATTACTTTTTTCAAAACATAATTACACAGCATTATGTGATTAAAGTATTGTTTTTCCTCAAATTATTTTATATAGCATTATTTCTCAATACTATTATACAGCATCATATTATATTATGATACTAAAGTAGAGTTGTCTCAAAATATTTTTCTATTTTTTATTTTTCTCAAAATAGTATTACACAGCATTATAAGTATTGTGATTTCTGCTCTGAAAATATTTATATTTCACAGTTTTACTCAATATTATGACTATTCTTGAAAAGCTTTTTTTGATGGCAAATTTAAGTGAGTGTGAATACACCTGTGGTTTGTCTACTACGGCACCTGTGTAAACTTGAACTGATTGCCTTCATAAATCCAATAAGAATTACATTTACACCACTATGCTAACAACTTAATTTGATATTTTGCTTCTAATGCAATGTATGAAATTACATACATTTGTAAGTGTGGCTTAAGTGCCCAAACACCTGGAAGAAAAAAACATTACGGATGATGGCTATACACCCACACACACACACACACACACCTCATTACTGTGAATGAGGGTGAGCGGCTGCGGTTAGACCTGTTAAAGTCTAATCGAGGTAGTTTAACATCTCAGTTTAGTGATAGACCACACTAAAAGACCTGATTACACCATACGTCTTCAGAGCACGGAGGAAACACCACATGTAAACACGTGTCACACGTCCGCTCTTCCAGCCCGTTCCCAACATGCGCTGATTTCACTTGACGCCCATTACAAAGAGAAATAGCTCCTGCTGTTGTGTGTGGAGCGGACAGAAGGAGCAGCCAGTCTTTAGTTAGAGCGGGTGTACAGCTGTCGGCTGTCAGGTGTCAACTTCCTACCCACGTTCACGGTAAACATACTAGCTGCCATCGCAAAATGCCAACGCACTGGGGAAACTCCTGCGCTAGTCTAGAAGATGCTGTTTTGGTCTGTAAAGCGGGACTCAGAAAGTCTCAAACATGTGGTGATGTGTTTATAATGTTAAACAGCAGTGTGAAAGTACAGAATGGGAACAAGTACCCAAGTAACAAAGAATTGTGATTGTTTTAAAGCATTCAGCAATGATCAAGAGTCCATTAACTACATGCAAATGTGCCAAAATTGACTAACAGTATGGTGGTATTTTGGCTGGAATATTATAAACTGAACATAGGAATTCTGCAGGTTTTAAGAAGGTACATTTAAGACTTAGGAAGACCTTTTTAGGACCAAGTAAAGAAAATTTAAGAAATAAGTTGAATGGAACACAATATGCCAATAGAATATCTAAATATAAAAGTCTTGTATTAGCCTATGCTTCAAAGTTTAAAAATACAACCTCCAACTGATCTCCATTACTTTTTAATTTATTTTATGGAAAAATAAGGCTTAAATGCTCTCAAACAATAGAATATGAAAATAAGTACATTGCAGTGCATGCAGCATTTAATGACATTTCTTTACCAATTTTAGACTTTCTGCTCTGATTTAATACCTTTTTTAGGGCTTAATTTGTGGAAAGGCAAATTAAGACTTTTCAAGACCAACAGAACCGCTGAACAGAAAACTGACTGAAAATTGGCTACCGGGTAGATTGTCTGAGTAGACAAAATTACCAACCTGCACATCTCTTGTGGAACTGTGAGATAGCTAAACATGCTAAATGGGATCCAAGTGATCTCATTGAGCTGCCATGTTGCCATGACAGCTGATTATGATTAAACCCCTTTTTCCAGCCCCTGATTTCCACCTTCACCTTCCTGCCAAGCCTCACAGACCCACCTGACACCAGCTAAACAACGAGGAACGGACTATCCATTAATAAAACCAGTGGTGGGGAAATTGTTGAATCACATCAGTGCCATTCAGGTGACAGAGGCTTGGTGATTAACGTGCCACCGTTAAATGCATCGTGCTGATGAGGGCTTGATCGAGGAGCTCATGAGGAGCGTTTGTGTTGCCATGAAGGGCTGGAGGAGCGTGTGGCAATGGGAGGAAGGGTGGTTGTAAATTGTGATGAATGCACAATGCATGCTTGGTCTCTGGCGATTAGTTTTAATCAAACCTCGTTACTGTATGTGTCCACTGGTGCAGAGCTGAGCAGCCATTTTTAGTTCCTTCTCGATGGAAGATTGTGGAGCTGAGCAAGTGGTATCAAATAGATGAGATAATGCTCAATGCAAATTAGATACGAAAAAACTGGCCAGCAGCCGATCGCTGAGAGCCAAAGTCAGTGACGTCTGTCATGGACTCATAAATAAAGCTGGCCTCTTTCCGACTATAATTGTGCATATATGAATATTTTATTGTATGTATACTGAAAGCAATCATAGATTATATATTTAAAAAAGAAAAAGAACAATAACATTAACCACTGTTCAATGATTTGAGTCATTTCTAAAGGAATCAATGCAACTTGCTTACTTCACATGAGGGTGAAAGATTTTTTTTTTTGCAGATTTCGCAGTAGATTCAGGTTGATCATGTGTATTTGCCACGTAGACCAACATAAAGCTGTTTCATCAATTGTTTTTTCACTGAAATTTTGCTGATGTGACTAAATAAGTGAAATCATAAATGAATCATTCTTTTGAGTTGACCTTTTTAAGTGAATAATCAGAACCGGTTTCCTGAACAATTCACTTATAATTCAGACTGAATCATTCTGAGCAGTTTACGAATCAATAGCGGAGTTATTGAACAGAGAATCATCTTTTTTTCAAAACATCTGATTCATAATGTGCTCTTTAACAAACAAGCTCATACTAAGAACATTACCTGGTAATGTATCAGTACACAATGGCATATGCTGAATCATTTGTTGAATCGGTTTATTGAAATACACTGTTCAAAAGAGCTGATTCTCAAAAATGAGTCACACTTTTCAGTCTTCCGCACCAGTGAACACACTGCACCGAGCAGGAGAGTTGATAAAACAGAAAGAAAGCCTGTGAGGTGAGGAGAGATGGTAGAAAGATGGTATCAATTATTTTAGGTGGGCAGAAAGTGCATTATTTCAGACAGAAATCCAGGACATGATCTTTAAGTTACACAGCAAGACTTAAACTGAGAAGGAAAGTGTACTGACCAAAAACAAAGTCGAACAGGCACTGTGGGCTAGTTAGCGTTTTATGCTGTTCAGACAGTGCTGTTCAAATAGAAGGGCATATCAGTGCAGTGAAGCAGAATGTGCCTTTCCACTGGGCACAGCAGAAAGAGAATCTATCACTTCCGGGTCAGAGCCCAACAAAGACATCGGAAAGATGAGTTCCAGCCATGGGCCACTTCAAATATTAGAGAATTTCCTTTTCATTTCAGTTCAGCTTACTTGCTGTCAACCTCTTTCTTGTTTTTGTGCACCTCATTTAGCTCGTTGACACTGTCATTATCCACAGCATGTTTTCCCTGACATTTACAAATGCTACAAAAGCATATCGACATTCAAGAGCTGGATAAAATAAAATAATTGTGTGATCTTTTTCAAAATTGCTAAAATGCTACATTCTGTAATTGCTGTTTTCAGTCGATATGTGTTTACAATTACAGTAATGTTCTTCCAGCTGGAACGATTAAGCCTCAAATACATGTACAAATACATAATTGTAACTAAAATTGAAATTAAAATCAGTTTACAAAAAAATTAAGATAAAACGGCAACTACAAATGTGCAATATACTTCAAACAAAAGCTAAATAAAATTAAAAGGAACAAAAAACATTTTAGAGATAATTTTTAATTAGTTATGGTTTTTTAATCTTTATTTTTTTGCAAACTCTGGTAATAATGGTGAGTAAATAGATTTTTAATTAACACTTTTATCAACATCAATTAATTTTTTATGAATTTTTTTATGAATCACCACCACCACACACATATAACAAAATTAAAATAAATATTTTTAATTTTCCTAATCTCTCTTCTGCTATTTCATTTGTCTAGCAATATTTAAAAAATAAAAACTGAAAATAAAAATTGCCGCTGTGAGCATGTCAGATTGAGTTCGGACTGCGCCATCTAGAGTTTCAGGACAGAACTTTGGATTAATAATATGGTTATCTCCTTTATGATATATCCGATCTGCATTTTCCTCATGTAATTAATTAGAAGTCTTTTTAGATAAAAAAATAAAATAAAGGTGAATTTTCTGGGGGCGGGATTAGTTGAAGTGGGTGTGTCCTTACCCATGACTGACACATCATACTCTATGAGAAGAGTGGCTTCCTGGCCGCATTGTTTGAGGATGCTCATGGCCTCTGCGTGAGACGCTCCATGCAGACGAATTCCATCAATACTGAGCAGCCTGTCGCCGGGTTTGATGGTACCTTCCCTGAGAGAAAAAACAAAATACAATACAGACTGAAATGGCCTATCTGAATTACAGAAGAAATATGCCGTACACAAGAGAGGCACCCAGAGACACAATAGCATTTGTATTGTGTGTCCTCTGCTTGTTTGCTCGTAACAATAAGCCTTTAAAATGCCGGAAAGGTTACCGGCTTTACAATTCTACACATTCCACCTGTTATCATGGCAGGCAGGTTATGTCTGTGTTCAACACACCAGAGACCTTTCCAAAACCACAGTAATTCCTAAACTATTAGAGCCAGGAACCGTACTGAAGCTCAATAGATATAAAAATAAACTACTTTTCCGAAGTACTCAAGAATATGGGGAAAATGTGACCATCTCTATTAGAGCGTCTGGTACTCAACATTCTTGAACTATCTGATGCACGCAGCACACAAAACTGGTATATTCTTGCTGATCTATCTAGTGCCAATCTGATTGGCTGACATCTCTGCTTTTTTATCAGTCTGCCTGGAAACAAAGGAGTGTTTATGAGAAATGGCTGCAAAAATGATTGCTTTTCAGGAAGAATTAAAAACTGGATTATTTTAGGTTTTCCAAGGTAGTAGTATAAAATCTTTAGTCAGCTTTATTTAAGATAGCTTACTAGCAAGCAAATTAGATATCCATCAGCAGAATGTTAATAGTTTAAAGTTTGGGGTCAGTAAGATGATATATGAGTATCTAAATACTATTATACAAAAATGTAAAACTTTTATTCAGCAGGATTGCATTAAAGTGATTAAGAAATAAATGCTGTTCTTTTGACCTTAACATTCAAAGTATCACAGTTATAAGCAGCACAACTATTTTCAAGATTCATAATTCATGTTTCCTGAGCACTAAATCAGTATACTAGAATGATTACTGAAGGATCATGTGACACTGAAGATGGGAGTAAATTCAGCTTTGCATCACAGGAATAAATAACATTTAAAAATATTTAGAACAGTTATTTAAAATTGTAATACATTTTACAATATTTACTGTAATTTTGATAAAATAAATGCAGCTTTTGTGAACATGAGACCTATAGTATAAAAATCATACCCACCCAAAACTTTTAAATGGTTGTGCAAGTCTGTGAAATAATCTGTATTAGTCTTATTAATTTTGGACAGACATACATTTTGTAATTATTTTTTTAGTAGTTTTTTCCATTCAAATATTAGTGGAGGCTGTAATTATTGTGGTACAATTTATTTGCGTTAAAAACAATAGAATGTAAACATAAAGGTAAACTGTTATTAGTCGGTTTGTGTATCTTTCTATTTAAGTCTGGCTATGTCAGACTATTGAGCTTTATGCGAGAAAAACATTTTTATTTAAAAAAAACATTTCAACCCCGGAATAACAGGGAGCACCACAAGAGGTCGAGTTTTGGTTAGAGGCTTGATTTATCACTCAAACTAAATGAAATTTGCTGTTTTTATTTTCCAAGGGGGCCATTCTCTGTGACTGCAAGATGTCAGAGGCCAGTCAATACCAAATTGCAGAAGAACAGAACACGATATTTACCCAGAAAAACAGGAGCCATGCCATTGAACAAAAGAAATGGGAATACTCTCTTGGTAAGAAATAAAATTACCAGTGTGCAAAATTAATATTGATAAGGGTTGTGGGGAAAGGGAGAGACGGGCTGGCGTGTAATGACGGTAATAACAGAGCAGTTCAAATGCCAGAGCGAGTGAAATATCACACCGGTCCATTTGCAATTCTCAAGCGAGTGCTGAAGTTGCGGGGCAATCCATTCCGGTTCCGAAAGGAACTCCGACTGGGAAACACTATTTTCATCAAGCAATTTCTTGCCATTTCACAAAAATGACTACAGTTCAACTATGCTAGACCAGTAAAGATAAAAACCCAACCCATTACGAGGTAACACAGAGAGAAACACACATGGGTTAAAAATAACCATTTCACCATTTAATGCAACATGCAAAAATAAAGTCAGTAATTTAAAAATAACAATAAATACTGTAAATAAAAAAAACAAGCATCTTAAATGCTAGTGACTCATTTTTAAACACTTTTCCAAAACCCAGTAAACTGCCTACAGACAAATCAAAGCTGCATTCTTAATGCCTATCCATAAAATAAGAAAATTAATTATTGCTAACCTTTCAATACCTGTTTTGGCCAAATTATGTTTAATTGGCCGCCCAGCTAAACCAGCTTCAGCTTGGAAAACAGTTTACAACAGATAAATCCAGCTTAAACTAGCTCACACCATCTAAGATGAGCAAAACTGCTTAGGCATTAAAGAAAGTTTTAAGGCTTTAAAGAAGGACAGTGTCATTAAAATTTGATCATTTCATTTTATTATTGTGTGCTATATGTATTTTCATGCTTTTTAGAGTATCCTGACATTAGCTTAGCAAAATGCTAACACCAAACCCCATTTAAATCAATTGTGAGTCGATGTAGTGTCTCTAATAAGTCTCACTCGGTTTCATTTAGGATGCCCTTTATGTTTTGGAAAAGAGCTTTAACGTTAGTGCTGATGAATACAGTTCAGTTTAGGACCAACTCACCTGTCAGCCGGACCGCCGGGTCTGATGGTTGTTATGGTAACCGGGCGAGATTTGTTTCTGTCTTCATGGGCGCCTCCTACATCATGGAAAAAACAACTTGTTTTGACACATTTAACAAATGTAGCCATATAGCGAAACCTTGCATTTACACTCCAGGATATTTACTCAACATTATATAGTTTAACCTACTGTACACTTAGCCAATGAGGTAAATCATAACTCCAAATACTAGCTTAGTGGCACAAACCAAGGGCCATTTGCTCACCACACTGAGATTTCCATATCATTCTCAACAAAAGCACCAGTATACATTTTTAAAGCCTCTGCTTGCTATAAATTTGCATACCATTGAATTCACAAATGGAGTCTCAAAGATGAAAAGAAAGTCCTCAAAATGCCTCTTTGAGACAGATTTGAGAAAAAGAGCGAAGCTAACCAAGACCTTGACAGGAAACCTTTTTTCCCTCTCTCTCTCTTCAAAAGACTTCCTACTGTAGATGGATCTGAAAAATGGTCTCTTTCTTTTAATGAAGTCTAAAATGCTGCTTGGTAAATATTTGGAAAATGAGTGTTAGCGGCACGACTGAAAGCTGCTTCATCTCTTTTCACTGGGCTCAAGGGCAGTGAAAGAAATCTTTAGAGAAAAATGGTCTTTTTTTGTTTGATGTAGATGTGAACGAAAGTGTGTTGATGAGGTGAGCTCAGAGACATTTGAACTGGGATGTGAAGAAGTCTACAGAGGCACCCACCTCTGATGACGAAACCGAATGTATTGCCTTCTTTGTGCAGCGTCACCTCCACGTTTTTGAACATGACCCCTGAGCCCTGTACAGCTGAGGAAGGAAACAAACTGTTCAAAGTTCTGCCATGATCTCAATGCAAGACCAGAACACATAAATGAACAAACTAAATGGCCATTTACGTCACTGAGAATGAGGAAACTCAGCATAAGATTGCGGTTATAAAACACGCCTCATTTTATTGCTATTATGTATTTTCAGATTAGGATTTTGTCATATCATTGACACTTGTTTGTTTCAAATAAGTTTAGAATTTCAGAAGATTAAGGAATTAAGAAAAAAAAATATTTGATCAAATTGAAAAAAAAAAAAAATCCATACAGTTCTATACATGATATTAAATTGTACTGAACATATAAATGTAAAATGTGTGTGTGTGTGTGTAAATACAATTAAATAAATGTGTATATGTGTATAAATAAATACATATACACCCACATGTACATAACCACACAAATACATGTAATTTATGAATAAATGTTTTAATATTATTTGTTTGTATCAATTAGATTCATAATTTTGGAATTGTGATAAAATTCTCTTTTATCAAATAGTAAAAACTGTTTATACACATGATATTATTAAATTAAATTTTTTGCATATATACAGAATTTTATATACACACAAATACATATGAACAATTATTCATATAAAAATATAAATATATTATTATATTGAGCATTAATATAAATTACAACTGAAATATATATTCTGTATATGAAATTATTCTATGTGTAGGAAATCAGTTTCATAGGACAACATTCAGTTGTGTTTGTGTTTAGCATACAGTTCAGAGTTTATTATACAACATTTACTTGCAGAATGATGCGACTGACCAATCAGAGTCAAGTATTCCAGCTGTGTTATAATAAGTAATATGGTAATTTTCTAATCTCACTCACAGACAGGCGGTAGCTCATACTCGACCTCCAGGACGACCCTCTCCCCCACATTCTTCAGCAGACTAATAATCTCATCATGACGAAACTTTGTCAAGTTGATTCCATTCACAGACTTTATATAGTCCCCTACGTTCAACTGGTCACTCCTGCAAAGAAACAGACCAAGAAAAAGATTCTATACATTTGCTGGAGAAAATGTGAGAGGAGGAAATTGCATAACCGAAAGAAGGATGAAAGAACACAGTAAACAGGCAGGAGGAGAGAAAAGAGTGAACAAAGAAAGAGAAGAAATAAAGACAGGCAGAAAATAAGGCGGAGATGGAGTCAGGTCGAGCTCGGAGGCGCTTTGATAGCTGATCTGAGCCCATGAAGGGAACACTTTGTTCGAAGGAAGCATCAAGACAGGCTGCTCTAGTCTCCATCTCGCTCTTTCTCTGACACACATACACTCAGCTGAAAGCTCTCGTGTTTTACAAGGCGGCCTGATTGTCAACAGATTCTGAAAGAACGAGTGTGATGTTAGGCAGTTTATTTCAGCTCGAGTAGAATTATAAGGGCAAGTGTCTAAGACATAAGAGTCGATATGCAGTGAAACGTTTAAAGCCAAACAATGGATTTGAAGAAGAAAAGTATCTGTGACTGTGAAGAAGAGGGCATTAAACGTGTGCGTTTCACTATACGACATATGCAGTGTTTGTTCTGGGATATGAATATGGATCCATTTTCTGAGGATTGTGGGTGTGTGTGTATTTTTGGTGAGGGCTGATACGCTGGCGAACAGTAGGCCGTCTGCCATTCCTGACAGCCAATAGGGAAATGGGAGAAGAGTTCTGGCTTATGCAGTATTGATTAAAAGATTCTGTCTACCTTATTCACACACACACACACACACACACACACACACACACACAGTGTGTACAGAAAAAACAATGTGCGCACACACACACACACACACACACACACAACATACTTCCTAGACAAAGCTCCAGCACACATTGATCTCTCTGGGCCCGTCTATTGATGCTGTCTTAGCAAAAATCATTAGCATAAACACAAAAAGATAATAAAAACCTGACAACACAAATCCTCAAATGTGAATTTTTGCAACACTAGCATCTACAAAACTGAACTGAAAGTCAATTCTTACATTTTCTAAACAATATGTGATTGGTGCTGGCTAGCTGTACAAAACTAGCCACAACAATGCTAATGTGAAGTTAATATGAGTGACTGCCTGCAGTATGCAGGGCATTTTAAATGTTTTTACCCTGTGCTATGTGGTTGCTAGAGTATTTTGTGTAGTTGCTAGGTGCTTTACTTAAGTCTACCACAAATTTATGATTTTATGTTTTCTAGATATGACTCGAGTACCTCTTTCAATGTAAGTCTAAGGACTTTTTCTTGCTTGAAAAGCCCAAAGCTTTCAGATGTCATTCATGTCAATAACAGCCTTAGCAAACAGCACCAATTACGGTTTCCAAATGTTTCCAAAGTTTCGAATTAGAGATGTCTGACATCGTGAAAACACAACAATGTTTTTGCAAAATCAACCTCGCTAATACTGACCTGGCAGCGATGCCGCCCTGGCGCAGGTTGGAGACGCGGGGCTTGCCGTCTTTGTCGATGCCTCCAGATACTGTCAGGCCCAAGGTTGTGCCTTCCTTCTTGATCAGCTCCACGGTGCTGGTGCCCTTAAACTCATCTGTGAAGCACAGGGAGGGATGAGGAGGAGGGTCAGTGGGGGAGGTGGGAGAGGAAGAGCAGAGACAGGAGATGAGAGGGTTACAGGAGCAGAGGAGGCCAACCGCTGCCATACCCCACTCTCTAAATGACTGTGATCAGGCGTCCCGGACTGGCCCTCTCTCACACACTCTTTATCTCTCTTTCTCTGTCGTTCTACCCTAGCTGGTAATTAGTTATACACTCTAGAGTGCTCAGAGTGTGTGTGTGTGTCCGCACTTAGCAATAGGTCGAGGACACCGTCGTCACCAGAGGTGCGCTAAAACAGACAAAACCTTTGACAACATCATCACTTGGAACAATTACAATTCAGTAAGTAAAATAAATTAAAAACAATAATTAAAATAATGAATACATAAATTAATAAAAAAACAATAAATAAAAGTGAATAGATGAATAAAAATGCATGAACATTTAATAAAATAAATATAATAAACATATATACATGCCCACACACACGCAAAATGTAATTATAAAATAAACATACATATATATATATATATATATATATATATATATATATATATATATATATATATTAATGTATATATATATATGCATATATATATATATATATATGCATATATATGCACACATTAATAAATAAATAAATTAAATAAATAAACACACACACACACACACACACACTAGGGTTGCTGCCATAGACGGTGTTGACGGTTTTACCAGTGTTAAGCCGCAACACCGGTTATGTCACTTGCCCACCGCGGCACCGCCCCCGCCGTCATTTAGATTTTTTAAAGTAATAAAAATAATTTAGTTCAGTTACAGAACAGACAATACAATTAAACTGAATGCGGCTGCTCAATGCAGCGTGCCAACAGTCGATGCGGAGAAGCTGACAAGAAGAGTGAGGTGAGACAGACAAGATGATGGCAGAAGAGATTCAAAACGACATGCAAAAGCACCTGTTTTAAAAAATATTTTGGATTTTGAAAAGCCTGTTGACTTCTGCCATTTATCTAAGGTGATATTGGAAGTTTTTTTAAACATTCATTTCTTATTTATTTGGTTCCACAGTGTTTGCTGATTTTTATTTATTTAAACTGTGTATTTTTTTTCATCATCTATGCTGTGTCTCCAAGCTTTCTTATTTGTTTTTGCTAATAACGTACGTTTCTTATTTATTTGGTTTCACAGTGTTTACTGATCTTCAGTGTGCTACCTAAACTTTGTGTAAGTTATTTGTTATTTTATATTAGGCATATAGCATGGTGTTTTATTCATTTTGTTAATAAAAGTTCTATGTTCTACATTGTATTTTGTTGCTTGAATTGAATTCAAGCAATTGACGCCGGATTTGCGCTAATTTAAAAGTGAAAGTAAAATGTGCACCGCGTCTTTAAGCTATTTAAAAGCGAAGTAAAGTGAGCAAAAGAGGGAAAACTCAAACAAACTAAAAACAAACAACTGCTTCAAGCCGAATAGACGCTAATTTGAAAGTGAAAGTAAAATTGTACAAGCTTTTACAAGCTATTAAAAAACAGAAGGAAAGCGAGGAAAAGAGGGAAAACTTTTTATTTTTATTATATAACCATATACATTTATTTTTTTAGGGCTAGTACATAGTTTGAATTACCTTCATATAAAAATTTATATTTTTAGGATTTTTTTCAACTGCCTCCCTTATATCATTTTGTCTTATATTTACCTTCTCTCTCACCATCTTGCACAGATATTGCTGGTCAGGCAGACGCGTCGCTCCCCTATCGACTGGCTGTCATTCAATCCCTCAGTGGGATTGTCAAAGTCACATTAAGAATACTGCATATCTGTGCAAGCAGGGCGCTCTCTCCCTTCCTCTCTCACACTCTACCATCACTACATCAGCTATCAAAGCTGGAGAAGAAATAAAAATAAGGGATTTGTAATCCCTCTCTCTTGACTGGAGGAAGGAAAAGATGGATTTATATGAGTTTGTTCACTTTCCTTTCCTCTCTCAGTATGTCTTTCTGTGGCGGGATAGATAGCGAGGGGAGACAAGGCTGTAAACCCCCCTGAGGCTACTGACAGAACAGAGTTGCTGAGCATCTCACCGCAGGAGGATGGCAATAACGGGACACAGGCTACAAAAAGAGCCTCTTTGGTGCTTAAAGGCTATAATGAAAGACACTTGCTCTTCTTTAGGAACAAAAAAGCTTCATAAATATTCTGGATAAACACCATTGAAGGGTACAAGTACTCAGAAATGACAGTTACGATAAAACATGAAAGCACATTAATGGTGTGACTTGATTTTGAACTTGAAAACATTTCACACTAATCTAAGTCCATATGAAGTCCATTCATATCCAGTGAAGCCTCGCTTTTAATTTTGTGATTTGTTGCAGCGGGTTAGACCTTGATTGAGATGCATTTTGAAAAGTAAAAAAAAGAACAATACTTAATGGAACAACTGATTCAAATAAGCACAAACAGAACTCAATTGATCATCATAACATTTCTTGCAACGCTTCAATATCAGTCATTTCAGCATGCATGCACTTTCAACCTGTTAGGTCAGCCTTCACAAACCTCGCAGTGAACGGTTTCTGCATTGACAATGAAATCATGGGATCTGTGTATCTGTTACAAATCCATCAGCTTAGTTTTGCTTTAAAATCCATAACTGCTCTGATGCCCTTTGCATGCAAATCACCTGCGCAGTAACCTCAGTTGAGGAAGAAACCGATTTGACATTGCACTCTGCCTCCGATCGATACCGCTGCCATATGGACATGGGAAGGGAGCTATGTCGAAACGTGACACTGGACAGAGGGAGGTTAGCATGGATCTCAATGTCTGGCCTGAACCTGAACCTCCAGGCAAGCCTATGGAGCCGAGCAGAGCTCTCGCAGTGCAAACATTCTGATATATATCAAAGACAGCGAAGTAATTAAAAGAGAAATCAAACTTATAATGAGCCAACAGGAACTGCTGAATAATTTAGTGTGTGTGATTTTGTGTGTGTTTGGGAGTGATAGAGGCAAAAAAAAAATGAGACTCAGTATTCAAACGGGAGTTCAATCTATAACAAGCCTTGTGTTGTGTGCCAGTCTTTTGATAATTAATTGTAAAAGAACTGCTCGATTTGCCTTCAGCTTTCATAAAATCATTTGATTAAAAAGAACTTTGCACTGCTGGGGATTCGCCTGAGAGCGAAAAATTCAGGGCCTGACAGGGCCGAATTATAAATGTCGCTGTCATTTCTCTCCTCTCATTCAGGTGAGGAATAAATGATGGGTCTTTCGAAGGTTTGTGGCAGCATTAAATTAACTCCCTTTACATGTGGAAGACAGGGAAAAAAAAGTGATATGGTTGACATAACATGCCTTCAGAGGCCAGAAACATTGATGCATTTCCAGCAGAAATACTTGCAACGTTACATTACAATATCTTATAATTGTTCTTCTGACATGACAATTGACCCGAAAAGAAAACTAATCATAGCAGACAACCATAAAAGCAAATAGTCAACTACACTCTTAAAAATAAAGGTGCTTCACGATGCCATAGAAGAACCTTTTTGTCTAAATGGTTCCTTAAAGAACCTTTAACATCTGAAAAACCTTTCTGTTTCACAAAAGGTTCTTTGTGGCAAAATAAGGTTCTTCAGATTACAAAAAGGTAAGAAAGAGATGGTTCTTTAAAGAACCTTTGACTGAATGGTTCTTTGTGGAACCAAAAATGGTTCTTCTATGGCATCGCTTGAAGAACCTTTTGAAGCACCTTTATTTTTAATAGTGTATAAGGATACGCCAATACCGGCCAGAATTATCGCCCGCTAACCGATAAATGGCTGATATTAAAATTCAACAGTATTATTATTATTATAAAACTAAAAAAATTGTTTAGAATGGCACAAGTACAGTGTTAAATGTAATATATAGCAAATCTCAAAATGAATAGATTTTTTTTGTAGTGTTAGTAAATTTTTGACAGATTAACATTATATATATTATACTTGTATATATAATTAACATAACATTATATATATATATAAAATACGAATTCAATTATACTAATTAAAAGTAAAAATGTGTATTTTTAATTTCAAAGCTCTTATTGTGAAATGTCCTACTGAACTGTTTCTTTTTCGTAAACACCGTCCAAGCCAATGCATCCCTCATGCATGTTGTGAGCCCTGTCGCGCAGCTGCACCGGGGGGCCCACTGGGGGTCATCCAATATCCATACAATTTGTGGCACAGTATGCCATGGTCATATAACAAGCTCTGTCTTAAGCTGTCTGGGGAAAGCGTGGTTCTCTCAGTTCACTGAGGGTTCAGCATAATATCTCGGCCCAGAGCAAGAAAAAGGGCCGCTGGGATCTAATGAGCTGTGCTTTGAGGGCTACGGTGGGACAGGTGTGGAAGTTGATAAGTTGATCCCATTACTCGTGGTCTCTCATTTCATTCCATGTCCTCTCTCCCACCTTTCCTGTTTGAATGAGGCACACAGAGCTAGTGCTGCCATGCCATGTTGCCACGGTGATGAGATTGGCCATCAGCTTTCTCAAAGCCGACAGATTTCTGTGGCGGGATCGAATGCTGTGCCCATCAGACAGGTATTGAGGGGAAGAGACAGAAAGATAGAGCTTGAGACAGCATGTGCGAGAATGATACAAAGCAGGAGATAAAAGTACAGATAGAGTGTATGACGGAGAGAGCAAGATATAAACATCTACTCTGCCAGCTGAGGCGCACGCAGGTTAAAACAGTTATCACTTTTCAAGCTGCCTGTGACAGAAAAGGTTAATCTGCGATCGCAGACTGATCTAGATAGCAAACTTGATAGATAATGCACAGAAAAATCCAACCAAACACAGGAAGAATTGTACAAGAGGCAATCCAACACTGTATCATTTACTGTAAAAAAGTAAATAATTTATTTAACTTAATTTTGAAAACAATGTATTAATTGGGAAATTATTTTAATAATGCAATTTTAATATAATACATTAATA